AACACTAAAACCTTTCGATATTTTAATTAAAAACGTCGCTAATGCATTCATAAATTACGGCTTTTTTTAAAAAAACGACCACAATAGATAGGTTTATAGCGGCGTTTTTTAAAAATGCCACCAAAGACGGGTTTTATAGCGACGCTTTTGGGTTATCATATGTGGCGTTTGACATTTAAACGCCGTGATATTTATAGAGTTAGCGGCATTTACTCTATAGACGTCGCAAGAAACGCCGCTACAAACATGTTTTGTTGTATTGAGTTAATACAATAAGTACACTAAAAAACTTTGAACCTTGATTGTTATTTTATTTTGAATAATCACTGTTATTCCTTGAAGTTTCAAGTTCGAGCACTATGAATAAATGTCAGGTGTGTGAGCGTTCAAAATCAAATAGTTGAGAATTACCTTTAAACAAATATTACTTTATATTTACCCTATGTTAATAATAAAAAAAAAACTTTAAACTATGTTTTTTATTAAGTTAAAATGATTATAAATAATATTTATTCTAAATATTCCTAACCATTTAACAATATACATTCAACCACGAAGACGATTTGATTCTCGCACAACTTTAAACTCTACCATTAAATAATGAGACACATTCTTAAAAAAATATATTTTTAAAAAAAAATATGATTAAATTGATTTAACTAAATTTTTGTGTCGGCCCTAATGGAAGAGAAGAAATACTTAACCAGGGGTCAGGCCATTCTTTCATCATAAAGGCCTACTTACATCTTGTAATTCTCTGTACTTTCTATCGTCTTTTTAATCTATTTGATTTTATAAAATCATATTCATTGATTTATTTTAAATAAAAAAATTAATATATTTATCGTTGAATTAGTATATAATTAAATAAAAATAAAAATAAAATATTGATTACGTGTTCCAATCAAAATGTAAATTAATTTGATATTACTTGAAATTAATTAATTAATTTTTATGATTCTATCATAAAAATGTTGTATAGAAATGATAGGGAACACATAATTGACAGGGATTGGTTCAAGCGATGAGCAGCTTGATTCTGCTTAAGCAATGTCTCAGGTTCGATTTTTGTGTATGCAGAAAATCTCTGTTGGGAAACTCACCCACCAAAATCAAGTGTGCGACACGGGTCGATCTGAATTAATCAGAGAAACCAAAAAAAATGTTTACACATAATTTTTAAGATTAACATGACAATCGCTGAATCACACCCGCAATTTAAAATATTATAATTTTTATATATCATGTTATGATATAATATCCGTAACAACGACACTACAATTGCATCAATGACAAATGAAAGGCTTCATAAACTCTAACTTAAAAAATGTAAGGTTTTATTTATCCACAAATTGTTGTCGTAAAATAACAGTTGTATTATAACAGTTTTTAAGGTCATCGTAACGCCGCAATTACATTTATAATTTAAAAATATTACGATTTTTTAAAAACAAATCATGTTGTAAAATCCACAATATCTATAACCGCGACACCACAATAAACACTATAACTATAATTTAATACTATGAACATCCATAAGTCCATATTTTTTTAATAGGTTGGACTGTACAAGATAATATCTATTCAAAATCATTATTAACTATTGATAACGTATACGCACTCTATGCAGTTACTCGAACTCAGGATCTCAAAGAATAATAACGTTCTTTTTAACTATTAAGATCACATGATAGATTTACGTGTCCATATATTTACATATAATATATACAACATTGTTGATGGACAATTCCACAAACATTTAACCCAAGACCCAACAAAGTTCAAACTTGAAAACAATGGTTTGCCCCGCTAGTGGTAGAGACTCAGTCAAGATACAACTAGTACAACGAGAAGTGGAAACTTGTGGTCCATACCCAATATTATTCTCATAGGACAAAACCCTAATTTCATCTAATTTGGGTCCACTCTACAACTGATGTATGTATTATATCAAAGACACTGTCTCTTATCAAACTTGAGTACGGGTACTGTGTCTGTCCATCATCCATTATTGGTAAGTTATGTTTAAGCTTGAAAGATTAAAAAGAATAAAAGAGAAGGTTGTGGACAGGGTTTGGATTCGCCAACAGTCACTTTCTTAGAATTAATAAGACAGAAAGCGAAAGAGAGAGATATGGAATGATATTGTGATGTATGCTTCACAGATAGGGTGGAGAAAATAACAGCAAAAGGGATGATTACCCGAAAGAAAAGGGAGTGTACTACTACACGCTATACGTAATAGCCATTAGCCCACTTCTTATGACTTATGACCCATGCACACTATATCTATACATATATATAATATTAAAAAAATGGGGTTTTAAATAATATAATTTGGATCTAGTAATAAAACATTCATCTACCTATTAAGTTTATTACATTCGAGTCTAGCCCATTAATTTCTTTTATCTATTTAATGATTTAATTGAGTTATCCTAAGATATAATCGTGTTCTACTTTTGTTATTAATACAAATATGTTACTTTTTTTAAGTTTCTTGTCGAATATAGCAACACAAACGAGTTTTATTTTCTCACTTTAGGTGTACAAAATTCAGAAGACTACATTAACCCTAAGAACAATATTTATTTTTGAAATTAGACCAATCCCTGTGAATTACTCTTAAGGTCATCTCTAGCGCATCGTTGGAGTGGCGAAGATCTCCACTTTGAAGATGATTTAGTGCTCCAGCCCATCGCCACTTTGTAGCTGCATTGTTGCGACAGCTACAGAACACTTTACAACTGGCGTTGCACTATAGCTGCGCTACATTTTTTTTGTTAGTTTCGACTGAAGTTTAGTGGCCATGGATTTTGGCCTCTGGTTTTCATCGAGAAGAAAGGGAGAGAAGTGGAGAGCTTGAGCGGCTGAGGTGTTTAGGTTTAGTGAATTAACTTAGGTTTTTTTTAGTTAGTTTATATACTAAAATATTTTGGGTAAATTAGGGTCTAGTCACTGTAATCTTATGGGTAAATTAGCCTTAGATCCTCCTAGGTATAGAGCTTATTTATACGGTATTAATGTTTGAGATGTTAATATATTTGTATTTCAGTTTGAGATGTTCTGTTTTTATTTTTTGTATTTCAGTCACATTTGTGTATCACATGTTAATATATATACGGTATTAATGTGTTGGAGACGTCTAACCTTTTCGCATATTATTTGAATTATAATTTTCTTATTTATTTTTATTTTCGCAATGTTATTTATGAATATTTTATTTATACTTTTTATCTTGATATTTATTAGAAATGTATATGTTTTATTTTATATTGTAAAATCAATATTATAATAGTTAATATTGAGAATAAGTAGAGTTGGTGGTAATGTAGAGATAGTGCTGGAAATGAATTACTATTTCATCTTTAGAGTAAAGATAAAGATGTTGTAGAGTAAAGATGAGAGATGAAGATGACCGGTAACTTTTAGCATGATAAATCGTTATGTTTTTATATTATTTTTCAGCAGTATTATTTTCTGATAACTTTTCCGACCAAATCAATGACTAAAAGAAGTTGGGATCAAAAGAAAAGACTGGACTAGAATTTTCCATTAGTTACCTACATACCCACACGAGGAGGAAGAGGTTTTTTGGGGGAAGAGAAGCTTTAGTGCAAATTCATGATAAGGAAATGAAATCTCATGATGCTAATGTCAGAAATCAAGCAAATAACACAGATCTGAAAAAAAGCATGAAAGAAAGAGGCTGCTGCAGCAGCTGGCACAGCCATAATTGTAGGAGAAAAAGGGAATATAAAAGACTGCTTACAAGTTGAACTCAAGGAGAATAACACATGAACAACATAACTCCCACACACACTAAGCAAATAAGGATCAAGTAGTATTTTTTTTTCCTTCTGTCCAGTGCACCAAAATCTCTAGGAACTGTAATAGAAGATCCCCTTATTGAATGCCATTAATTGCATTTGTTTTTGTGGCGCATGCACGTTTCCTATAGCGTGTATAGGGTTCTAAACTAGAGACAGCAAAATCATTGTTCATCTCTCTTGTTGAATTTTCATGGGATTCATTTCAAATACTGTATCTTGGAAGAAATAAGCATTGTTATTTGCATTATGGAAGAACATAAAATTTAGGAAAATAAAGCTGAAACTGGTTCGTTAGTTCGGTTAAAAAACTGGTTTGCCAAAGCTGCTTATTTTACTGCACATAGAAGCTAGTTTTTCGTAAGATGTGAATTCAATTTCCAATACTGTACTTGCTAGACCTAGCTATGGAGGGTATCCTCTTTAACAGCGTTTCATATAGGAACCGGGAGCTCCAATCCAAGCACAGCATCGTGTGAAGCAAAAATCCCTGAAATTCTTACAGCATAGGGTAATCAAAAGCTCTATAAAGAATAAAGAAACCTACTAATGGAAGGTTGCAACATCTGTAAATGACTAAAGATATACTTTGTTTAATGTGTGATTCTCTTCACCATTCACCAGAATGAATTTGTACCAAACTATACCGGATGAGGAGGGGGATTTTGTAATTCATCCCTTTTAATTTTAACGGAGAATTATTGTTGATGAATAACAACCATTGGTTGATATTTTTTTTTGAGAGATATGAGAAGATGGAGTAAACTAGGAGAAGTGGTTAGATCCTCTCTCAGTATCATTGTTTGAAGGAAATATAATGACTGAAGTTGGTGGTGTCAGACTTAAGATAATTATGATTAATTGTAAATTGACTGACTAAATATTTTGATAATCAAATCTCTAGTTTTATTCTAATAAATCACCATGAGCCGGTTATACAAAAATATTAACTAAAGGAGATCTTATAGTTTCCAATGGTTCTCCGGATGCATAACCGACTTTTAAGTTTCTAAAGCCTCTTCTTTTACATTAATATTGTGTTTGCAGTCGATTTAAGGCATTCATCATTCTTTCATGGACAATCTCTTTCATTCTTTTTCTCTTATATCAAGGCTGCTCTATCATCATTTCATGCCCCGTCATGCCTTTTCATCCAAGTAATTCCAGTGATGTCCTCCCTTTGTATGTCTCTTTTGTCACTTCCCTTTTACGAACATCGCTCTGTCAACTTCAGTCCTTCACTCTCAGATAATTCTCTTATACCCTCTCTTCCCTTCTTCTCTCCTTTATATTCTCACTGCTTACTCTTTCCATTCATGCACTTGCTCTCTTTGTAGCTAAGCTTTTGTTTGCTTCCCCTTTTTTCTGCCACTATGGAACCCCAACAACAACCAAATGAAGATAATGGCGGCAGTGGCAAAGGAGGGTTTGTTTGTAGGCAAAGTAGTACACGGTGGACACCCACCACTGACCAGATCAGAATATTGAAGGACCTTTACTACAACAATGGAGTTAGGTCCCCCAGTGCGGATCAGATTCAGAGGATCTCCACTCGGCTTAGACAGTACGGAAAAATCGAAGGCAAGAATGTGTTTTATTGGTTTCAGAACCACAAGGCTCGTGAGAGGCAGAAGAAAAGGTTCAACACCACAACTGATCATCATATCCCCATGCAAAGACCTAATGCTGCAAATGGTAATAACAAGTATCCCACCATAACTCCAGGTTGTTTCTGTTGTTTCCTATTTCCCTTTCTTTTCTTGTTGATTGTTTGTTTTTCAATGGATTTGTTTGGTGATTTCTTTCTTTCTCTTTTGCAGGTTATGCTTCTTCATCTCCTTCTTCAAATGGTGTGCTTACTGTTGGGCAGATAGGGAACAATGGGTATGGATCCATGACTATGGAGAAGAGTTATAGGGTAAGTGATGATAATTAATACTCCTTTGAAGCCTAATCTGTAAAATGGAATACTTGTAATTTGAAAAAGAGAGTTTTCCTTTTGGTTTTTAAAACCAGGATTGCTCAATATCAGCATACGGTAGCAGCAGTGGTGGTGCTACATCTTATGCTTTCTTTGACAAGAAAAGATTCATCGGAGAAGAAGAAGATGAAGAAGAAGAAGAAGAAGAAGAAGAAGAAGAAGAAGAAGAAGGTTTTGCTCCACATATTGAAACCCTTCCTCTCTTTCCCATGCACGGAGAAGACCACATCAATGCTTTTTGCAGCAATCTTAAGCCCCAATCAGAGAGCTGCTACTCGGCAAATTGGTACCGGTCTGATGACGGCGGCTACACCGGAGCTCGTGCTTCACTTGAGCTCAGCCTCAACTCCTACACCGGCAGACCACAGGACTATATCTGAAGAAATCTTGTATTGAATCATGTTAGAGTCTCAATTAGCGTAGCTAGTGAATGTTACGGTGTAAAAACTATGAGTTGGTGCATTGTTTCTTATAAATTAAGCTTAATTAACGAGTGATTATGAAGTTTAAGCTTACATAAACCTTGGTTTTAGCAACAGAGATACAGTGCCTTGGTGTCGGAGCTAATGACAGTATCAATGATCGGGTCCTTTTCAAGCAGAAAATTGTACAGAAAAGTAAATAAGATAATATAAGAGATCGTTTATTCATCGTTAATCATGGAATCGAATCAACAAAGTCATTGAGGTATGTTTACACAGTTTCTTAAGATCGATTCAGTTGCTCTTACAGTGATAGAGAAACATCGATCGACTATCTCTCATGATACAACAAAAAAATGAAGATTGTATTAACATTGATGCAGTGATCAACGAAGTGTAATTAACCTCGCCTTTTTCTATCATCGAAAACGTTTGAAATTTGAGAAAATATATTTTACGAGTGTGTCTAATCTTATAGGTTTACACAGTTTAAATAATAGATTTATACTGAAAATTTGTTATAATATAACATTTAACTAAATACATTAAAAAAGTCGACATTAATGTATTTAAAAACTATGATAAAATTTGAGATACGTAATTTAAAAAATATATATATATTTTGAAAAAATATGTAATTTCATTAACCGCACCGGAAGTAGCATCACGAAGTCTAGTAAATCATAAGTAAATGACATAGATGAACTCGTGGACGATGCCATTGTGCCAGAATATGAGTGGTAATGTTTGTTGAATGCCGAATAGAACGAACCTCAATATTTGGATGAGCATCCAATAACTGTCTCACTTCAATAAGGTCATAACTAATTACAAATCGATGCAATGATTAAGTGATTGACGAATTAAATTATAAGTATCACTCTTAATAATAATATATAGAATATTCGATTAATCAAAAAATAAAATTTTATATTCTAATTAAATTAATCAAGCATGATAATTTAATATTTTAGGTAAACTGCTAATTATTCGGGACAATTTTATATTTTTATGAAAACAATGTCATTGTAGTAAATTTAGTGAACTAAAACTCGCTACACCTCTCACGCTTTATTTTGTTGTTTGACGGTGGAGTGCTCGATAGAGATTTAAATAGTAATTCGTTGTTAGATTAATAATTATTTTTTATTAAATTAAATGTGATTATAAAGTAATATATGTTCTAAGTACTCTCAATCATTTGACAATAAACGTTCAATCACCTTTACAGTCGCTGATGCTCGAACCTGTGACATTTAAAAATAATAATTGTTATATAGTAAGAAAGGTACTGCTCGAACTAAATGTTTCATAAATGCGATACGTATAATAACTATAATAGCATATGTTATTGTAACAACTATAATGCACACAATGCACAAGGTTTTCAATCATTTATACAAGAAATACCAGTCAAATTATACAATTTATAATTGTACAAAAGTTGTATATAAAGCTCTCCTCCATTCTCAATTCAAAACTCATAATGGCTATCATAACTAATGGAAACCAAAACTAGATAGCTTTTGTTTTTTGTTGTACTTGAAAATAAGGGGAGAGAGAAAAACAAAAGAAACCTGAGCAATGTACTGGAGAAATCTTCATGAATCAAAACCGGCAGTAAATGGTGACAATGCAGCATTTATCGGCTGGGTCACGGTCTCTCTCTGAGTCTTACACCTGTATAAGGAGGGGCAAGGATAAGGGCATTAGGGACTCACCCCTAGCTTTGCAAAGATGCAATGAAGTGGATGTCTTAAGAAATAAAAGTTTTCACAATTATCATATATTTTCATGCAACGATTTAAGTAACTAGTGTACGGGAAACCACCGATAGAACAAAGTAAATTGCCATTATCTAGCGCAGGCAACTTCAAATAAAGCAGTTTTCCTTTCTAATAGTAAATCACTTCAGACATCAAATGATCAAATTATTGATAGGTATAAGGCACATCAATCGCATCATATTTATGTGGATCACAATGCTTGCATAATTCAGCATGTAAAAGGTAAAAAACACTAATTTATTTCCTGACCTATTGCATTGAGCTCGAGAGGCATAATTGTGATTGTTGCATTTTGCACACATCCAATCTCCACTACGCCATTGCTTTGCTCTGATAAATTGAGGATGTTAAAATTAGTAGATCTATAAAGCAATCCTCTGAATCTCATGAAAATTATCATATTTGCTAGACATATTACTCAGCATCTTAACGCAAAAAAACTGAACATAAACCTGATTGGATTCTAAACACAGAAGTTCTTAGAACATTATCAACTAAGTGATCATCTCTTTAGCATACTACATTCAAGCCTACAGTCAGCAAGAAGCAAGAGAACTGAAAACAGAACTAAAATCAATCCCAGGAGCAGTTCAGAAGCTAAAAATCATTTACAACTTACAATATCCAACAAGATTGAAGAATTGAAAAATAAAATAAAGATATTACTGAAACAAATCATGAATTTGTCCGAGATATATAAAAAGCGTGTATATAAGGGTCAACTTAATCGAAATTTACCCTTTCCCAAGAAGGGTTGTTGTTGCAGCTTGAGGGAATGACACGGGCCCTGGCCAATTTGAAGCGACAACAGGGTTTAGACTGGGATAGGAAGGATATGCTCCAGGTTTTGAGTCACTTGTGGCTCCTACTATTTGGTTAAATCCAGGACCCTGCAAACCCAGAAAAGGACAACCGTAGTTCAAAAAGTCAAAGCCTGCTGGAAACTACCATTAATTATACATGTCATGACAGAAACCGATTACTTACGTGTCCTGAATTCAATCTTTTATGATCCCAATCATGTAAGGATTCTTCAGATGCTAATCGCTTAGTTCCAAGTGCTACATAACCCCAAAAAGGAAAATAAATAAGAGGTAAAGATTTGATTACTAGAAGTAGAACAAACCAACAGATCAGAAAATAAGCATTAACACCAAAACAACACAAATGAATGTACCTGGTGGTATGGATGCATTGCAATTTTTGCACTGCAAAAATACCAGATTGATCAGAAAAATAATGGCACGTCATATTTTGTAGAATTTGTTACAAGCACAAAGAATAACACATATAAGCAGTAAGATATGACCTGTGAACGAGAAGAGTAGTTATGGAAGCCACAGTTGCAAATCCAGTCACCATTTCTCCATCCCCTTGGAACGGATAGTGGTTGATTACCAGGACTGGCATATGGAACCCCAGGAGTTTGGTTTCCACCTAAAGGCCATGTGGATGCTGATTGAAGTCCATAATTATCAGCACCACCTAAATGCCAGTTGGAACTCAAAGGAAGCAACTGCTGGGGAGCACCACTGCCGACAAATCCAACATTCACCTTTTGTTCCAGTATACCTCGGGCCCTGGTAAAATAATGTGAATAAGTGGGGAGAGAAGCTCCGGCCATTGCAATTGCTGGCATCGCTGCAATATCCTTCGATTGCCCGCACTTTTTGCACTTTTCTCTTGATGCATAATTGTTGTTAGTGCAAGCTATTGATCCATTTGCCACACACACCCCAACCCAGAATGCAGCCACGAAGAGGACAAGGAAGCCAAGCACATACGCACACCAACAAGTTCATCTCATAGTACCAAAGTACACGCACAAAAAAACACAACACTCAACCTAATTGATACTCATTTCCTAACCTCAAATTCGCAAAGCACATATCAATATATATTTCATTCAACAGGTTGCATTCATAGAAATGGCAACTTTGTCAACATTACAAAACACCAAATTAACAAAACTAAAACAGAAACAAGTTCAATAAAGCTTTCCAAAATCATTGTTTAAAGATAAACCCATTTTCAAAATATTAATTAGGGAAAGCAATAAGCCAATAACTAATCTTTACATGCCTTTTGTTCCATCTCAGCTCAAACCACAGATAAACTCCAGAACCCAAAGTTCTACCAAAGAACCCACTTTTGACATTTATTCTTAAATTTAATAATTGAATTAAAACGGACGAAGAATCATTAACACAATAATTATAAGAAGAAAAAAGCATGTGTAAGAGAAAGAAGTATGAACGGACCAGTGCAGATCCAATCACCAATACGCGGGAGCCATTTGGAATCAGCAGGGGTTTTGGTGTCAACAAGAAGCCGAGGCTGCTTGCATCTGTTACAGAAAGATCTAAAGGCGTAGTTCCTGTTTTTGCATCCGCTGCACTCCCAATCCCCTTCTTTCCCTTCTCCCATTCCTTCCCCTCTCCCTATTAACCGTTAGTTTATATATACGATTGATAAATAATCATAAGAGCTTGTTGTTGCTTGAAGCTGAAGAAAGTGAAGGAGGAGGTCAGGGTCACCCTGTCGAAAATTGGAAACCTGCTGCAAATTATGAAGTCTGGGGAGTTGGGATCGAGCGAAGGGTATCGAATATCAATCAAAATGGGGTGATAAGAAATTTCTTCCTCGGACAGGGCCTAAACCATGACAGAGATCATGCCTAATTAACCCATTCTTGGTTTGGGTTTCTAGTAGTTAAGCAATTCTGTTAAGGCTTAATATATAAGTCTATACACGTCCATGTACTGCTCTTTGACCCATCGGGCTTATTTAATAGAATTGTTTCTCATCCATCTGTTTTGTTTTTCATTTTGTTTGTAACCCTGATTTCTGCCTCTTTCATTCTCTTTGGTTCTTTTTGTTCAATAATGATATCAACGTTTGACATGGTATCAAAGCTTTTTGATCTGCTTCGTAGGGATATCATCAACGTCGTTTGAATTTGATACCAATAACATCTTTTTTCTTGTTCAGTCGTAAACCGAGCAAAATATATCACATTGATTATTTAAAATTTAATCAGAGTCAAATTAAGATTAAGTTAAATAATAAATATATGAACAATCATCAAATATCTAGGCTGTTAACGAACCGAACGCACACGAACGGAGGTATGTTCATGTTCGTTTAAACGAACATAAACGAACATGAACATGAACATAAACGAACAAATTTTTTTTTGCTCATGTTCGTTCATTAAGTAATATATTTGTTCATGTTCGTTCATTTAAATGATAAATGAACATAAACAAACGTAAACGAACAAAAATAAACGAACATAATAAATGAACATAAACATACATAAATTAACACAATAAACGAACAACACAAACACAAAAAATAAACTTATTCGAACACAACAAATGAATGTAAAAAAAAAAGATAAACAACAAGAATAACAACTTAAAATTCATTAATACAACTTTAGATAAAAAGATCAAATCAGAAGGTTCAAGGCAATGGTCCAAGCTAAGAAGTTGGACTTTCTTAATCATGTTACAGGGAGTGAAGGTGATATTGTTTTGTTCAATAAATTGTTCAATAAATTGTCTCATCCTCTGTTGAACAGGGCAGACAAATAGCTGAGAAACAAAAGGGTAGGCTAAGTCCCACTTAATCATAGTTGTTCTCTTTCATTTCATTACTTAAAATATTTAGAGAGAATCTAACCTATACAATTTTAAAAGATAAAAATATATTAAAAAGTATGTCCAAATTATATGATAATCCGAAAAATATTTTTGAGAGTGACACATATATATATATATATTAATCACATAAAATTTTTGTACGGATAGATGCAAATAAAATTTTAGGATAGATACAATCAATAAAATAAATAATTATTCGAAGAAAATTCAAAATTTAAAATGAACCCATATTCACCTTAAACTTTTAATAAACCCGTCACTGCGACCGTCCCGTCAGTTCCCCTTGATTCATACCCGCACATGCTGCATAACATTGTTTTCAACACAAAAATTTTCTCCCCCACGCCACCTACTTATAAATACCTATATTCCTTCAAAAATTTCAAAGCTTGAGTGATCTTTTTTCCTAGTAAACAAGCATATGGCTATTAAGGCATCGAGCAAACTGCCTCAGAGGGCAGCTATCAAGCATATTCTGAAGAAGTGTTCGAGTTCTTTCGGCTACGGTCACGAACGAAGCCTTCCCGATGATGTCCCTAAAGGCCATTTTGATGTCTATGTTGGAGAAAACAGAAGCAGATACATAATTCCGATATCATGGTTGGACCGCCCCGAGTTTCGGGTCTTGCTTCAAAGGGCCGAAGAGGAGTTTGGGTTTAACCACGACACCGGTCTTCAAATCCCTTGCGAAGAAGTCGTTTTCCGATCTTTAACGGCCATGATCAGATGAACAAAGCTTGATGTATAGGGTAGAGTCAGGGAACTGAACAAAAAAGATTGCCGTATAGCTCTGTTGCTTCGAACCCTCATGCTGTCATGCATTACATTAGTGTTTTATTTTCTTTTTTGCTGACAATTAGCAATTGACATTATCCTTTTTATTACTTATTTTATGTTTTGTATGATGTTTTTCCTCGAGTGACATAGAGAATATCCTCTAAAAAAGAATAATGAAAAAAATTCATGGGAAAATCTATGTTCTTTTACTTCAGTTACGTATTTTCTTGTTCTAAAAAAGAAGGGGAAAATTATTTTAATATATTATATCATTAATTTATTCTGTTGCATGATGTGTTGAGTCGGCATGTTCATCTGTTGATAAGATGGAGGGGTGAGTCAATGGAAATAGTCAAGTGTTTACATTGCTGAATTACACTTTGCACATGCATTCGGGGGTCCATTTTGAGCTACCTTAGGGTTCCTTGAGCAAATTGTCCCTTCCCATTTAAGCAGTCCAGAAAGCAGCTGGATTTCATAGCAACTCACACGAGCAAAACCCATTTTTGAAACCTTATTCACCCTTATCTGTCATTCAAAGTAGTGGTCCTCGACTTGTATTAAATGCTTCAAACTTTCTCTTCCATGTCTGTCTCATATTTAACCAGTGGGTGCCACCATGAGCTGGGACTCTCATTTTTATGGATTTGTTTCCCTTCGTCAAGGAGTGAAAATAGCAATCTGTCAATGACCTCAGGATGGCAATGAGACACAACGGGATGGATAAAACTGATGTTACCAATTTTTTTTTGCTCTGATTTGAATGTGTAAAATCAAAATGTATTATCATTTCGTATTATGTGTTTCCCTCGATGTATCATTTATTGTGTTTTCTTTTATTTTTATTCTCCTATCGGTTGTCATTTTTCTAACAAATTCCTCTGGTTGTTACTCGTGCTTCTTCTCTATTCTAAAATGATTATACGATAATATTAATTCATAATTTTTTTTAGTTATTGACATCGTACACACACTCGCAGATGTTGCTTGAAAAAAATAGCGTTTAGGTTAAATTATGGTTAAAACTATGACCCTCATTCTAAATTGGCCCCCAGACTTTTAAATCTTTCAATTTTATCCCCAAATTCATCCAAATATTTAATTAGTTTTAACCATAGTTTAACCTAAATGTTTTTTTCAAACATATAACAATATAGCTTGGTCTAATTATTTTATTAAAATGGAATATAATTAGTATATACATATAACTTGGGATGAAATTGAAATGTTGAAAAAATTTGAGGACTAATTTAGAATGAAGGATATAGTTTGAGAATGAAAATAAAAATTCAAAATTCTGAGGATAAATTTAGAATGAGAATCATAGTTTAGGGATGAAATTGGAATATTTAAAAGTTTAGGGACCAATTTAGAAATAAGATCATAATTTGAGGACATATAATGCAATTAACTATTTTTTAAGGACCTAAGCCTTTTTCCCCCTTTTTTTCTTCGAACTTAACTTCTTTCAGTTCTCCCAATTCATCACTCGAAATTCCTAATTCATCACCAAAACGAGATTTTAATAATTCAAAGCCTTTAAAACGAAACAAAACGACTTCGTTTTTGATAGATACAAGCTAAAAACTGCATTAGTGCATTTAGGCCAACCCTAAATTTTTTCTTTGAGTTCTTCTTTTCTCCATTATTAAACAACCAAAAGCCCAAAATTCAAAACCCAAACCCCTAGATTCAGGTGGAAAAAATCACCCTATATAACATGTGTTCTCGCAAACCCTAATCCTCTACCCTCTGTTTTATCGTCTCCAAGAGACAGATCTCCAAGCCGCAACACTCACACACAAAAATTCACTGAATGGGTCGAGTCATCAGAGCTCAACGTAAGGGTCCCGGTTCCGTCTTCAAGGCCCACACCCACCACCGCAAGGGTCCCGCCCGTTTCCGCAGCCTCGACTTCGGCGAACGAAATGGCTACCTCAAAGGTGTCGTCACCGAAGTCATCCACGACCCCGGACGCGGCGCCCCGTTAGCCCGAGTCGTCTTCCGTCACCCGTTCCGTTACAAGAAGCAGAAGGAACTCTTCGTTGCCGCCGAGGGCATGTACACCGGACAGTTCGTGTATTGCGGTAAGAAGGCTACCCTTGTGGTCGGAAATGTTTTGCCTCTTAGATCTATCCCTGAAGGAGCTGTCGTTTGCAACGTCGAACACCATGTCGGTGACCGCGGTGTTTTCGCTAGGGCTTCTGGTGATTACGCTATTGTTATTAGTCACAATCCTGATAACGATACGACCAGGTTCTTTTTAATTCTTACTTTGTTTTAATTTTAATTTTGATTTGGATCTGTTCAATGTTGGATAGTTTTCTGGGTTGTTACCAATATTTTCTTATAGTGATTGATGATTTCTTAGCTCTATTTATATATATTTTGCAACAATCTAAGGTTTACTGTCAATATTTTGCTTGAATATGAGAAAGAACATTAATTAATTGTTAGCTGTGAAAAGCTAGGATTGATCCTACTTGAATTATGAATTGATGGAATGCAAATTGAAATAACATCTTGATGCACAAGGATTATAGGTTCTATTTCGTTTTTAGTTTGATTCTTGGAAGCGAGTGGATGGTGATCATTTATAGTTTAACTTGTTAGTGAGATTCTTGGATTGTAACTTTACAGGATCAAGCTTCCATCGGGTGCGAAGAAGATTGTTCCAAGTGGTTGCCGAGCCATGATTGGCCAAGTTGCTGGAGGTGGTAGGACTGAGAAACCTCTGCTCAAGGCTGGTAATGCTTTCCACAAGTATAGAGTGAAGAGGAACTGCTGGCCTAAGGTTCGTGGTGTGGCTATGAACCCAGTTGAGCATCCTCACGGAGGTGGTAACCATCAACACATTGGTCATGCTAGTACCGTTAGACGTGATGCTCCACCCGGTCAAAAGGTTGGTCTTATTGCTGCAAGGAGGACTGGTAGGCTCAGAGGGCAAGCTGCTGCCACTGCTGCCAAGGCGGATAAGGCATAGGCCAAGTAGGTTACTACAACTTGTTTTAGTTCTTTTGGGGTTTATATTTATTATATGTTCAAGACTATTAAAGCACATTTATGCTAGAAATTTTGTTTGAATTTTGAGATAATGCTACTGTCTGGAGTTTGTATGATGGATGTTTGTGTTTTGAATTTGGGATTTTACTCAAGTGTTTTATGTCATCCTTCTATTTGTATCACTCATAATTATATGGTTTACCGTGTCGTAATGTTTTCCTACATCACACTTAAAGAAACTCATCCTTTATCTCCTGCAAATTAAGTTAACCTTTAAGGTTATTCTCGTTTTCCTTCATGGTAACCGGAAACAGGCTACTTCACTTCCCTCGTCACATCAACACATTGTACTTGCAAGAATCTATGTTTTTGATCTTTTGCAGAACCACTACCATCTTTGGGACTTCGGTCATGAACTTTTAGGACACTTGCATTTTGGTCATGAACTTTTAAAACATATACACAATCATTGAACTATTAATTTGTTTATTATTATGGTTATTACCGTCAACTGCTGATAAAAAAACTGATGACATACTAAAGTATTCTAAAAAGTTTTAAGCCTCCAAATTGATATAAATGACTCAAGGATAACTTGTGCTGTCATTGTTTGGTATTCTTTTGATTTTTTTTTTAAATTTTTTTAATGAACAAAGAGGATAAAAGCACTGATCAAAAGCTTCCAGAGCAGGACCAGAACTATCCTTTAGCAGCAGCGGGATAACCTCCAAGGGTGGGTTAGGATACACATTATCCACAAGTTCTCCAATACCAGCCATTTTAGCTAGCTTATCGGCTACGTGGTTGACTTCTCTTTTGCGATTCAATAAAGCTGAAATCCGATCCAAAAGAATAAAAGAAAAATCTACTTGTCTTCTCTGTTGAATGCACCGAATAGCCTCCATACTATCAACTTCCACCATTACTTGCCTCACACCAAAGTTCCAAGCATGGAGTAAGCCCCCATAAACACCCCAGAGTTCTGCTTCAACTACAGAGTATATGCCAATCACCTTTGAGAATCCCACCATCCGTTCTCCATTACAGGATCTAATAAGTCCCCACAAGAGGCGAAGCTATCTCTACTGTTCCGAGCAGAATCAGTATTAACCTTACACCAGTTTTGAGGAGGAGACCAGTTAACATCCACAGTAGACTGGGATGAAATCATGGCTGATTCAAGGGCTCAGTGAGCTTCCATCTGTAAATCGCCTGCTTCTTTCCAATACCGTCACATCTTCAATGTCTTCGGGGTCAAATATTCTCATATTATGATTAATCCAAAGGGACCAAAGAAGAGAACCATAGAGCAAATCCCATCCAGCCTCCTCACGTGCTTAAAACGAAGGGGACATTAAATTAATCTGGATCCAATCTTTTGATCATTGTCGTCACTAAATACAACACTTATCATATTTAATAGTTTTATTATTATTATTTTCTCATGACTGTTCATCGAAGTTTTAAACACAATTCAAACCTTCTCACCATTTATGATCAAATCAATTAAAACTTGAGCCACCATTACCAATTTCATTTGATCATCGTTCACAATACAATCACCAATAACAATAGAAAATAAAAAACTAAAATTAACAAAGAAATAGAGGGGGAAAAGAGAAAAGGAAAATATAACTAAAATTAACAAAGAAGTAGAAGGGGAAAAAAAAAGGAAAATAATCCATTTCGGTCTTAACAAATTTCTATTGAATGTAACAGTCCTCGATCAATCTTAATAGTAAGCTCAGGGCTTTTTAGATTTATCTTAACGACACTTGATCATAATAATAGCGAATTAAAAGTTTAATGAATGTATTTTAAGTTTTAAAAGTTTAGTAATAAAAATGTAAGCATCTAGAACATTCAGGGACCATTGTGTAGTTTACTGAATAATTTATAAAGTTGTCTAAAAGCAAAATCAAAGCTTAATATTATTCTACTTATAAACTTGGAAAACACCAGCTGCCTCACGCTCACTACAATAACTGTTCCTTTCTATTTTTTGTTCATTATTTTTCTTTTGTAGTCTCCCAAAAGCCGTCAAGATAGATTCAGATCGCAAGAGGAAGAAATCTCCGATCTCATCCGTAGATCGACCGCCTGCGAAGGAGGATAAACATAAAGATAAAGCTCCCACGACCTCCACCCACCACCACCACCACCACCACAAGAAGAAGAGCAAGATGTCATCTTCATCGGCGGCCGATAAAGTGAGGGCATCGCACATACTGATCAAGCACAAAGGCTCCCGCCGTAAGGCTTCTTGGAAGGATCCAGAAGGTCAAGTCATTTCCAACACCACCAGAGACGCCGCCGTCTCACGGCTCAAAGCCCTCCGTGAAGACATAGTCTCTGGCAAGGCTAAGTTCGACGAAGTGGCCAGTCGATACTCTGATTGCAGCTCCGCTAAACGTGGCGGGGATCTCGGTAGTTTTTCTCGCTTGATTGCAGAAGTTGAATATTTTAAATGATTTTGCGGATTTAGTTGTTATTTAATTAGAAATTATTTGTTGTTTTGTTGCTTAGAAAATTGTCAGAAGCTGAATTGTGGAAGGAAAAAAAAAGCTTTGAGTTAACAATTCAAAAGATAATCCCAATTGAGGCAAACAATTGTGGAAACTTTGGTTATAACTAGGGTTTGGAATACGTTAAAAACAGAGTTTTTAACTAAAGTCTTAAAGATGCTAACTTTGGGATATTTAAGATAATGGCAATTGAGGCATATAGATATGGATTTTTTCCTATTGGGTCGCTTTGGTTATAACCCGGGTTTGGAATACAATAAAAACAGAATTTTGAACTGAAGCCTTAGATACCAGAATATTGGGATTTTTCAACTGAAAATATAATCGCCATTGGAGCATATAGTTATCAATATTTTTTTCCAATGGGCCACTTTGGTTATAACTAGGGTTTGGGGTGCTTTAAAAACAGAGTTTTGAACTGAATTCTTAAAAGATGCTTGAATTTTGGTATTCCCTGCAATCAGTTGGAGATGAAATAGTCAATTTGGTTTACTTAATATGTTGTTGATTCATTCCCATTCGCCAGCATAAGAGTGATCCAATATGTTAATAACCCTAGTTTTGTTGATTATTTGCTTATGTGCAAGCGCATTCCTTTGAAGGCTTAAAGTTATCTGTTTCAATGGTTGTGTTTTTTCTTTGCAAGTTAATATTTTAACCTGGCAAACCAAATTACCTGATTTTGTTTTATCATTTTGCAGAATTGCTCTGCTTTGGCAATTAATAGATGCCATTTTAGTATATTAGAATTTGACAGAAGCACTTCGCATTTGTTTTTTTTAATCTGTTACCCACTTCCATACTCTTTCTATAGTGATGATATTTCTGCAATTCTCTTACTAGGTAATATTTATATTTATACATTTATAAATGACTATTTTATTTTATTTTTCTGTAACTCTACTTGATTCTTATCCATATGGGAGGTTTTAGGGGTTGATCCCAAGATTCCAAGGCAAACTAGCTCTTTTGCGTTGGAACCTAACCTATAGTTATAGTTAAGATCTTGGACATTTTGCACTTTTGTTCATTTTGTGATATTTTATGTCATTGTTTTTGTTTGATACTTAAGATGAAGAAGAACAAAATGTTTACAGCCTAATGGCACCTTGTACACCAGCGTGTGCATGGAGCAAGGACATCAAATTTTCATTATGCATATCCCATAGCATGCCCCAATTATATCATTGTTCATCAACCATAATCGAAACAAAACCTTATACAAACTTTTCCTTTTGCAGGTTCTTTTGGTCGAGGGCAGATGCAAAAGCCATTCGAGGATGCATCATATAGCCTTAAGGTTGGTGAGATAAGTGACATTGTGGACACCGATAGCGGAGTTCACATCATCAAGAGAACAGGTTGATTATTGGTGACTTCTTGGATATGTTGAGCAACTAGTTCAATGTTGGGAAAGTGTATCCAAGAATATTCCGAAATTACTTTCGATTCTGCCTACTGCCTATTCGAGTGAAATTTAACACTTGACAATTACCTTTTAGATGCTTGGGACTAGTTTGCTGGGGGCATTTAATTTCTGAACCATATTGAGATTATTTGCTTGTTTATAATAAAAGGCTTCTGGTTACAATTTCTCCCTCGACCCCCTAAACCCTTCTTTCTACTAACTATGAAGGAGTTCTTGCAGTTTTAGTGTATATTCATTTCTGTTGTATGGTTGAACGTGGATTCGTATTAGAACTTGGAAGCTTAGAATGGGGTTTACCATAAGAGTTTTTTTTTTTTTTTTGATGTTTGAAGTTTGGAAGACTTAATATTTGGTTATCAGCCTCCAGTCTTAAAGTTTGTGCTTTCCAGTCTTTAGTATGTTAGCATGACCTAATATAACGTTCAAATTAGGCAAGTTCATTAAAACGTATTAGAGTAGCATCATAAAACTCCAATTTCCTCCTCTCATCAGCCAATCGAATTGTCCGTAGTTTGGGAATGCTTCTAGCAATAGAAATATGATTTTAAATCCCATAAACAATGCTAAATGCTCAAAAGTTGATTTAAAATTATAGTTAGAAAAGTGATTTTTAATTTAATCTTATAAATTCAAATTTCTAACTTTTTTTTTTTGTAAAAAAAATATTTTTATGTGAAATTATATTTTTAATTTATAACATAATATCTAAAGGGGATAATTTATCTTTTTAAAATCATTTTTAACAGGAAATCTAAATAATTAAATTTAAAATTCTACTTTTCAGAAACGTTTTCAAAACTAATTTTTCACGGTAATTCTAATATCATTTTTCAGAAACAATCAAATTGCCCTAAGGTGGCGTTTGGTTCGCTGGAATATTTATGAGGAAATTGAAATATGAATTTGAAACCTGTTTGGTTGGCAGAAAATTGAATTGGAATCCAAATCAATATTCTGTTTGGTTCGCAGACATGTCAGATGAATTTGATTTTAGTAATGTAAAAGGACATAATTGCCCTTCTTGTTTTTTTTTTGTTTAATTTTAGTTTGTTTTATAACTTACATGTAGCAATATATTATAAAAATTTAAAAAATATTAAATTTTCATTTTATTGATTGATTATTCATTTCAATAAATTATAAAAATCATACTAATAAACATCATAAGTTAAAATCATCCCAATTAGGGATAGCCATGGGTCGGGTTGGGTCGAGTTTTTGGTCCACCCGACCCGACCCGAGAACAAGGGAACCTCCACTCGAGACCCGACCCGACCCAACCCGAATATATGAATTAGAAACCCAACCCGACCCGAAATAATAAAAAAATATTTTTATTCAATAAAAACAGTGACTTAATTGAAAAAATATATATATATATAGAGGGGTATTATTATAATTGTTTCTAAATATATAAGGTAAAATTATATTTTTTTTGAGTCGAGTCTGGTATTTTTCACCCTAGACCCGACCCGAATATCACACTTAAAAAATCCCAACCCGACCCGAATATCAAACTTAAAAAAGCCGACCTGACTCGAACTCGATTTTTTTTTAAAAAAAATCTGACCCGATCTTGAAATTTTTTAAAAAAAATCCAACTTGAATACCAAAAAATATTGATGAGGGTAGTATGATTAAATTTCACATCCTCTCCTCCAAAGGATTTCAATTCTATCATGTTATGGATGTAATTCACTTTCCCTCCCTTGATGGAATTGGATTCCAATTCCTCATTTGAAAACTTGAACCAAACATGAAAAAGTGGTGAAATTTGATTCCAATTCCTCATAATTCCAAGAGATTCCAACGAACCAAATGCCACCTAAACCTTACGAGCGCATAAGCTTAAAACGCTAACGTAAGTTGTAAAGTACAGGTTAGGAGACTGGTGCAACTGATGGGGAATATTGACGTAAAAGTTGAAAAAAAAAAAAAAAACTATAATTAGTCAGCTAACCGTCCGTTGTAGTCTAGTTGGTTAGGATACTCGGCTCTTACCCGAGAGACTCGGGTTCAAGTTCCGGCAACGGAATATTGCTTTTTGAACACTAACATGCAAAGCCATTGATTGCTTAAAGCTTCTCCACTTTATGGAGAGCTTGCAATGGAACCTCCTGATAATCACTTGAATTTGAATTCCCCAAATGTTTTCTTCATAAAAGGGTCCACAAGTTCAATGGAGCTTGGTAATCCTACTGCCTCTCTCTTTTAGTTTTTTTTTTAAACAAACACAACAAATCCTTGTTTGTTCTCTCCCCTGTCGTCTTCTTAAACATAAACGTCAAATTGAATGAATCAACAATCAACCTGCATGAAATCAAAGCTACTAAGTTCCTCTCTTTTCCTCTTTTGCATTCTTTGTAAGCTGGATCATGTTGAATCCAGGACATTGAGGAATGAGACTGAAATACTACAAGCATTGCTTGCCTCCAAGGCTCGAATACTAGTTGATCCTTACGGGGGTCTCCGGTCTTCACCTCACGAATGATTCTCAACATTTCTGCACTGATGATGAGTAAAGTGCGCTCGACGACATTGGAGATGAGTGACTGCCTTGCGTCTATCATCTCTCAAGTTGGCAGGTGATCTTTCTCCTCACATAGCTAGCCAACCTCACGTTCCTTAGGTTGATCAATATCGGCTTAATAAAATAAACTAAAATAATGTTTTGAATAAAATAAATTAGTATACCTTTAAAGCAATAATCTGTTGTAGTCTAGTTGGTTAGGATGCTTGTCTCTCGTCCGAAAGACCCATGTTCAAGTTCCGACTACAGATTTTTTTTCTTCGTAGTTGCTCACTCTTTTTTTTCTCATTAGGTTTGAAAGCATTGATGGCTAAATGATAAGATTTGCATCCTACTGAATCATAGGCTGCTAAGACAATGCACTGCAAGAGCTTTTATGCTCTTTTTGCTAAACAATAACATGAAATGGTCGCATATGATAAAAGCTGAGAGAAAAAAAATGGTTATAAATTGCATGAGGCTAAATATTGTACCAGTTGAAAAGTTAAAATTTGTCTTGTATTATCCTTGTCATTTCTGCCTTATTTTCCTTCTCAACAATACAACTTTGCTTCCATTTTTGCAGGTGCCCAACGCTAATGCCGTTGCGATTTTGTACTCTAATTGAACTTTCTTTCCATGGTGGTTGTCTTGATCTGTTTTGGTGTGTTGCTCGATTGGTTTCGGGCTCTTGCAGTTGGGAGCCTGGTTTTATGCCTGTTCGACTAGCAGGGTTATTTACTTCATGTCATTTATTTCGCTGGAGTTTTGTAGTTTTGTTAGTCGTATGCTTAATCCTGGCTCGTGTTATGTATATTTGTTAAGGGGCAGGAATCAGAACCTGGTTAGATCTGTTGGCTGGATGTTTTGTTTGAATTTTGGTGGGTAACCAGAACTGCTAGTGCTTTCCTAGTTTTTGCTGTGGTTTCATTTTTATTGGTTGAGTTTGCGGTAGCTTATGTGGGGTGATGTCGCTTGTTTTATGGATATAGTTGCTGTTGGTTCATTGCTGCTCGTCAGTTGTTGGTTAGATTGGGTGCTGGGGTGGGATTTCAGGCGGTTCTCTGTAGAGTGGCTTTGGTGGCCTCAGCTGTTTGGCCCTTGGGTCATTGTTCACCCAGAGTTTAGTTTCAGGTAGGGTCTTGTGTTTTTGGTTCGATTGGCTATTATTGTTATGGAGATCTTTGTGAAGGATTAGTGTGGATGGTCTTTGTTTTGTATTTTATCTTTAGTTTTGGGTCTTTTTCCTTCGTCTATGATTAAAAAGATTTTTTAAGTCTTTGTTTTGTATTTAATTCATTTTATAATACAAAAAAACATTTTTCAAAAATATATTAACAACAAAAATGTTTCGGGGTAAGCAAATATAAAATTTCAGTGTGGACACCATCAATAAACTCAACAACTAATATAAGAAAATTCGCATTTCAAGGTAGGCACGTGTCCACACTAACATCCATGTACATCCGCCACTGATTATAAAATGATATTTATTTAAAAATATTAACTATTGGCAATATAGATATAACTATTCGAATACGGGTACTCTTAGAAGAATTTCATTCTCTTTATCATTGAGACCACTCAACGAACTAATCGTCGGTAATTCTTAAGATTTTAAAAACAAGACGAATACCTATACAATATTTGTATAGAATCTTCAATTATTTTTCTTAAGGTTTTAACGATATCATATCAGTACAATTATTATTTTAAAGAGTGTGCACATTATTAATGATTAAAAAATGATTTTATACAAATATATCTTATAATTATTTTATATTATTAAAAAATTATAATTTAAAATAGAGAAAATCGCCTCAGTGACCAAAAAAAAAGTTATAATATACGATTTTAACCAACTTTTTTTGGATTTGCCAAAATGACCAACAAAATCGCAACGCGAAATAAAAATCGCAACGCGATCCCCAGAATCGCAAATCAGTTTCCAGAATCGCAAATCAGTTTCCAAAATCGCAACGCGATTCTTGAAAATCGCGATGCGATAGTACAAAATTCGCATTGCGATTTTCCATAATCGCAACGCGAATATGAAAATCGCAACGCGAACACATAAATCGCAACGCGTATCCGTAAATCGCAACGTGTATCCGTAAATCGCAACGCGTATGGGTAAATCGCAATGCGTATCCGTATATCGCAACGCGTATCCGTATATCGCAACGCGTATCCGTAAATCGCAACGATAATACATAAAATCGCAACGCGTATCCGTAAATCGCAACGCGATATTTAAAGCGCCATTATAATCGCTACGCGTATTTTATTTTCAAATTACAAAAAGAATATTAAGACAAAATCCCGTAATCGCAACTCATAACCTAAAACCTAAAATCACAACTCAGTCCCATCTCCATCTCTCACTCTCTACGGCGAAGAAATCCGTCCCCATCTCCGCGAAATCCCTCACAACCATTCACGGTCAGAAATCCCTCACAATATTCAGAAATGGAAAATCAACCTCCGAGGGTTAGTTTTTTTAATTATTTTTATTTTGAAATGTTTGCATTATTGTAGGTTTTTCATATTGAAACTGATGATAAGTTTACTGGTCATTTCAATAATAGATTAACCATTTCACTTAGATTTCATTTCGCGTTACGATTCTGTCGTTGCGATTTTCATTTCG